GCCTGTGTTTGTCAGGTGTATTCTGGCTTGTCTGGGCTGTTTGTGCTTTGGGTGAGGATTGTCCCAGTTTGCACAGTACCACACACAGCTGGACTTTGCTTTTCAGTACTGAAAGGGTAACACTATTACTGAAAGCAGTAGTAAGCTTAGCATGGTGCTTCTCTAAAAATCAAAATCTAGGGGGATATTTGTTCATAATTTAAAGCATTCTTTACCTTTGCACGCACCAATTTTCCCTTTCTGTTCTCACACACAACTGGTGTTCTTGTACTTTTCTAAACATGACTTTATACCGGTCAGTGCTTGTGAGTTTTCTGCAGAGGGCTTTTCTCCACCACGTGCAGGCTGTGTGACAAGTGGTCTTCCCAGTGCCTGTGGCCCTGTACAGCTACCCCAAATCTGCAGTTCTGCAGTCAGCTGGCCTGGCTCCATCAGAGCTGTGGTGTTCCATTTGTGTAATTAATACAGCTCCTAAAAGATGACTGCATATTGAAATGGCAGACCGTTAATGGCTCCAGGGAGCTCTCGTGGCTCATCCTTATAAGCAACTCTTTAGGTTCTGAAATAAATGCATGGTGAAGCCTTTCTTGTCACCACGGGGTGACCTTCTCATAAAAGGCTCTTCTCTGCCACAGTTGTGATCTCACTTTCTGTCAAATGGTTCATATTTTAGTCTAACCCTATAAAACTAGGAAGTTAAATGCTTTTTGGCACAGACACGTTTAGTGCGGTGTCATCTTTCAGCAGCATCTACTTCTCCAAATAGCAGTGATCGATTTTTGTCTTCAGCTGCCTGTTATCAAAATCTTAAAGATATAGCAGTGTGATTCTTGTGTTGAATTAATAGCACATCATCTTTGGAAAGATGACACTGCTGTTAAGTGCCAAGATTGACAAAAAGAAATCCAGTCGCTCTGGGATGATAACTGATTTAGTGTAATGTCTGTCTCTGGGAGCATTTCTGTCTGTCTTGCTGCATACCCCTACTGAGATCATAGCAGCGCCTAAAATTTCAGACATCTTAGATCTGTATTCCAGCTTTTTTTTTAGTTTATTTTATCTTTTCTCCATTTTTTTTGTCAGCTAGCAATCTCTATTTTAGTCAGCTTAAAAACTAAACCAACACTAAATAAAGATGCAGTGTGACATGTTGATGTGTAGAAATGTACTAAAATGATGCCTAAATGTTGCACGCATTTGAAAGGCCTAAGGTGACTGCAAGGTTAGAGGTGTCTGACAGCGGGTGTGAAGAGTGTGAGTCGAAGAGCTTGGCTTGGCAGCAGCCGCTGGAGGTCATGGGCCCCGTTCCCTGTGTGATGGCTGGGACCACGTCAGTGTTCACACAGCTCTGGCAGTGTTAGATCCGGTTGCTCAGGGCCTTGCGCAGTTGCTCCAGCCCTGCTCCGTTGCACAACCACACCTGTTGTGAAAACTTTCTTCCTTATGTTCAGCTGAGTTGTCCTTGCTGGTGTTCAGACCATTCCTCTCATCCTTTCACTGGGAAGAGCAGGGCTCTGATGTCCTGCTGGGGTGGGAGACCACAGCTGGAGTCTCTCCTGCCCCCCCCGGCTGAACCTCCCCTTCCCTCCCACCCTCTCAGCATGACAGAGACCCCTGGTGTCCCGGCAGCCTTCTGCTGCAGCCCTCCAGCTTTTTGGTCACTTGTACTGGTGGAGCTGAAAATCCAGTTGGACTCTTCAGTATTATAAACTGCCAACACCACTTCATGTGCTTCCTTCTTTGTTTCATTTCTGCATGGAAACAGAAGTTTTATTAAATAAAGCTTGGGTTTGGATATGCCTTTCAATAATTCAGTGATGCTACAATAGGTGGTTGTTCAGTTAATATAACTAGTCATTTACAAATATTGCAGTTCTTGGTAAAATACAAGATATGGGGAAATGAGCATGATTATTTTAAGTGACACTCTGAATTAAGGTCTGGTATGAGTCAACAGTCTTTTTTTAATTAAAAAAAAATGGAAAAGAACTGAAACACTTGCTTTCAAAGTCTCCTGTGCTGCAAACAATTGGTTTCAAAACATAGAGTACAAGCTTGACTTCAATTTTATTTTTTTCCCTAGGAGGCCTGAATTACTGAGACCTAGGCTAGCTGTCAGTAAGCAGTGTATAGATTAGCCTAGGCAGTTACAAATTTCTCTATTTCTACAAAATTTGTTGGTGTTAAATATTGCCACAATTGCCCATAATAACTTACCTCCTGCTTCAAACAGGCTGGACTGCAGCAGAATACAAGGGGTGTATTTATTTTGTTCTAAATAAATGTTTTATCACTTAGCAGTAATTGGATTGCTATTGTATTTCAGTAATTATTCCCAACAGCAAATCTGTTCACTTCTCAGACGTGTTCCCTGACTGACCTTCACGCAGCCTGTCTGGAGGTGTCTTTCTTGATCTAATTCTGTATGATGAATTTTTTGGTTTTGTTTTTTAAAAAAGGGGAACTACTGCCAGGGGTAGAATAATTTGTCTTTGCTCCAGTTGTCATGGTGCAAAAGTATAAGCACTTCAGTTCATGCCTAAGCTTTTAGCTGACCCTGGAGAGGCAGCATGATGCAGTGCTTTTTCAAAATGCATCATGGCATTTCAGGCTGTGTAGAACCACACTTCTCTCAGTATCACAACTCAAATATCCTGCCAAGATTTCCCATACTTTGTGGAAATTTGCTCTTTATTTAACAGGTCTGTAGACAAATAACTTCCTAAAGTATCTCATAGCTGACTGAGGAATTCATACAATTGTCTGAGGATCAGAGTCTGCCGGGGAAGTTCTGGATCAGTGGATGGCAATTTTATGTGCAAGAATAATATTCAGTGATTAAATCTTAATGGGTTTTCAGAGTAGCTAATATTTTTTTTAAGAGAAAAGCATTGCTGTATGTCCTTAGTGAGAGAACTGTCTTGTGATAGCCTGCCTTCTGTCCAGACTCTTGTAGGAGAGTCTCTGCATCATGCAGACCCCACAAACTCATCAAGGACGGCTCCATCCCCTGTGTGCTTGGCTGAAGCTCTAAATTTTTGGTTGACTGCCTGGCTGACAGATTATATTTATTTCAAATGTATGTCATTTGACAGTGAACTTATTTCCACAGTCCAGAATTAGGCTATTCTGATGCCATTTTCTGTTAACTCTAGCCCTAATTCTGCTTTCTGAAAGCTATGGTTTCTGCATCACCTAATACATGTTGCAAGTGTGAGTAACCTACTCCAGTGCCTAGAGAATGGTGTTTTATCAGAACAAAAACATTTTACTGGGTATTGGTACAGGGCTTACTTCCATTATGCTCACAGGTTTTTGCAAAGCATTTTATCATAAAGAGCAGCACAACGGCATTAAGCTGCGAGTAGTCTTTAGCTGAGTTTGCAGCTGTCATGGTCTTGTGTTAAAGCATGTTTGCTGTGCAAGCCTGCCACTTTGTTTAGAGTCTTTACAAGATATTAGGGGCACTGTAACTCACAGGACAGGCCAGTTTTAAGTATGAGTAGTCTGGGCAGCGTCTGATACTGTACCAGTTGCACTACAAAAGAAATCTTCCTTTGGAGATACTGAAAGTCTTTCCATCTTGACTTGCTGTGAAGTTAAATTGTGTTTTCTTCCTGTGTTGACTTTTATGTTGCCTGCGCTAGGAATCATTATTTTCACGCTCTCACTTTTTCATCACTTCCTTCCCTATTGTGCTGTTGTCACCACCCTGCAGCTGAAGCTGCCTTCTGTTCCTGGAGCCCACCTCCTCTCTCTCCAAACAGCACTGGGGATCTTCCTTAATCTGGGAATTTGTGACTGTGCATTTCTTCCTTCAGTGACAGAAACCTCTTTGCTGAATGGATTTATTTGTATGTAATGGTACTTAAATCCCATGAGGAGGGATTTGGGTGGTGTGATGGCTAAAGGCAGAAGGGGTACATGAACGCTCGTGCCTCTGATCCCACCAACTATCCAATGTATGTGGGCACCCTATGAATGTAGTTTTACTAGCTTGTTGCTCTTAATGGGTCAGCAGCATTCTCCCTCTTCTTTTAACTTCTGCTTGTTCTAAAGAATAATTTAGACAAATGAGAATAATATATATCTAGTTGTGCTAAAGCTTTGTGTTCTTGGCTATATCCTTTCTTCTTCCATCAGTATGAGTGAACTCTATTGAGAATGGTGCTTGGGAGGATTATGAGAGTTGCTTTTAAAAATCAAAGTATTAATATGTAGGGGTTATTTTGAGTCCTATGTCTCTCTTTGTGCCCTTGCCCATTTTTTATTGCCCCAGGTTTCTTAAATGCAGTCTAGAATTGAATAGTTAATCTGTATGTCTGGTTTATTCAAGTAATCCAACAAGAAAGTGTGTTTAGAGAAACTACAAAACTTATAAAAATAAAACTAGGGCAGTAAACTTGAAAACTTACTGTTTATAAAAAGAAATGAAAATGCTTTGCAAACTAATTAATCCTTCTACCCAAGAAATGTAGAACTTGATCACTTCTACCCAAGGCAAGTTATGTGATATTTTGTGTGGTAGATGTGGTCTTTGAAAGCCTTCCTTTTTTGCTGTTCTATTCATAAAGATGAGTTTCTGCTTGTAAAACAACGCTGTTTAGGTTTGGAACTTCGCCTATTTTACAGTGAGTGCAACCTGGCTGGGATGAAAAAAGCCCAGCCTCTCTCGTTGGTAGCAGTTTAGTTCCAGCATTCAGTGCATGAGGCTCGTCTACCTGGTAGCGTGCTTTGATGGATGGATTTCGGGTCTCGAGGCCAAGGCCTCCAGCATTGCAATCACTTGTGTAGGGAGCTTTAAGCTTCCCTTCTCCAGTTTTCTCACTATACAGTCAGTTTTATGCTTGAAGAGCTACTGAAAAAATAGTACTTTAGCAGTACTGTGTGATTTAGTGTGTGCTAAAAAAATAAAATCACTTTTGGGCATGAAGTAAGGCAGTGTAACTGAAAATATATTTTTGAAAACAACTGGGGTTTTTTGTTTTTAATATTTCCAGGGAGAGATGAAACAATGCAGCCAGCCAAGCCATCATTCCTTGAATATTTTGAGCAGAAGGAGAAGGAGAATCAAATCAATAGCTTTGGGAAGAATGTGTCTGGCCAGACAAAAAATGCATCTGATTGGAAAGTACCACAGGATGGAGACTACGAATTTGTAAGTCTATACTTTTGAATTTCAATCAATGTGACAATCTTTAAGAGTTTTAGTCAGAGCTGCTATAAGATTATTTCTTGTTTTGATGGACTAATGGAAACTTGAGGAGATTCTGATTGCTAATGCATTTGGATGGGGCATTTTGAAAAACTCATTTTCTTTAGGTATTTCTCGGTAATCATAACCAGTCATTATCTGTATGCTTTCTTTGTTTAAAAGCAAACGAATGAACAAAAAAAGCCTGAGGACATGAAGGTACAAGCTATCTTGCTTTACTTCCCCATTATGTAGTTAAAATAAAAAAACAGGATTCCAGATGGCAGTTGGGAAATGCAGATCCTCAATGTATAGTGTTTGTCAAAGAACAGTGTTAAAACCATTGAATTTCCTTGTTTTTCTCAAGTTTTGGCACAGGATTTTATTATATAAACAATGAGCTTGTTGTCTTTTTCAAATCCTCAATTTCGGTCTTCCTCACTGAGGTTCATGTGCTCAGAATTTTCAGGAACTTTTCAGAAGTCCAAAGAAAGATCTATTATTCATAAATCTGATTTAATTTATTTTTTTTTTGGTGAGGATGGAATACTACTGGTTTGAGTTCAGAATGTCAGAAGAAGCTACATGCTCTGCCAGACACTGTTCCCTCTGCTGCATTTTCTTTCAGTGATGCTTCACTGCAAGCACTTTTTGCTTTAAGTGCATTGTGCACCCTTATGATGTCTGTGTTGCCCGTGGTTCAGGTTGTCATGCTGCGTTCAGTAGTTGGTGAATGTGGAGTGAATCTCACCAAGCAGTATGGAAAGCATATCCTCTGCTCATCACGACTCGAGGATATGCTTTACTTTAAGGCTGGAGTAATAGGTGGAGCCTGTTGTTCCCTTTGTACAGATATAGACTACTGCTCTTACACTTATTTTGTTGTCTTTGCTGCTGCATCTCAAATTTTCTTATTTAGACTGAAAAGGATGGTTAGGTGAGGGGACCTGCTCATTCTCTCTCTTGTAGCCCTATGCACTATGTTATGTTTAGCCTGAAGGCTTAAAGTCGCTGTATAAACAACCTGCAAGCAGCCTGTGTATCACAGGGTCTGGGCCAAGCACAGGGTTCCAGCCAAGTCAGATGCTTTGTATATCTCATTTACCTTACAGGCTCTAACTTAATTTAATGATAAACAATTAGTTTTCAATGTGTGGTACTTCCCAGGAAAGATGGGCTGGTTTGGAATATCTTAGAAGTCTTTTATAGTCTGCAGAAGAAGGCCCAAGGGAAAATTTGCTGTAATTATTTCACTTTCTAATTTGGTTGATAACAAGTTTAGCAATTACCCTTATTTCCACTGAGTAGGATGTATTCCACCCTGCATCCAGTGAGCTGAAGGTGCAGGCTACATCCAGTGAGTGGCACAGGCAGCACGAATGACACAAGGAAAGGTCGGTGTCATTCTAGCAAACAGGACCTACAAGTATTTTTAGAATGTGTAACGCAACTCTTTGACATGCATGTGACCTTGTTTACTGATTTCCATTAGTACTGAAGTATTGCCATGTGCACAGATTACTAGTGCGCTGGAAGCAATAAAAGCAAGCAATAAAAGCTAGCAATAAATCGGGCTTTGGGTCACCGTCATGTAGTAATTTGTAGAAATTTTGCTTCCCAGCTGTATGTATTTCTCTAGTTCAACTGTGTATGAATATACCAGCCTGTCTTGCATGCAGATTTTGTAACAGAGCTACTTTCTTTTCTGTAGGATAAGAAAAATGCTTGAAAACAACCTTAATAAATATATGCTGATATTTGTATAGCCCTTATCTGAGGGTTGGTAGCAGTAACCTCACATTGTGTAATGTATTTAAAAACTTAAAACTGGGTATTTTTCCCATTTGGCTTAAAATTGATCAATTTGATGTCTAACTATGGGTAAAACTCATGTTTATTAATGCTGTGTTAATTGAAAGCATCAGTGCAATAAACACTGTAGAATAAGGAAAATAAAATGTGTTTGTTAGATGTATCAAATACATCTGTCCTAGACCTGCCTGCAGCTATAACTTCTGCATTGTCAGAGTAGACAGGTTTGAGGAGACTTTGTCTAGAGAGTTTGCAGGATTCCAAGTAGAGATGAGGTCAGTGAGATGCTGGGTGAATATTAGTGCCTCCTGGGCCTTAAGAAATGATTGAAATATTACTGCTTTGTGCTACTGTAGACTAGATAAATATGCCTCTTCTGTATTCCTCTCCCTCCTATGTGACTAGCACCTGGAGTCTCCTGTCTTCCAGGAAAAAACAAAAGGGGGAGAATATTAAATTACAAAAGATTTTTGCTCTTTTCCCCTGTGGCAAACCCATTTGACCTTTTCTCAACTAACATTGTTCCTCTGAAGCAGGCAAATAAGACCCTATTTATATCACAATGGCAATGTCATGTTAGATGAGGGTTAGATTGAGTCAGCCCCATCCACTAGAGAGCTGAAAACCCAGAGATCCTGTTCTCAAAGGTGATGAACTCCATTCCTCCTCAGCAAACGTGATGCCCTGGCTATGTCCTGGTTGTGGGCAGAGATGGCATAAACCCAGTGTATTTCCAGCAGTGTATTTCCAGCCTTGGATTTCTGAGGTAGAAGTTACTATTAACAGATTAGTCAATGCCCAGTGGTGTTAATGTTCATCCCCGCTCATGTTTGAACAAGGATCTCGGAAGATTTAAGCCCTGCTTGATTACAGAAAAAGTTTTCAAGAACATTATGATGTATTTAACATGGGGGAGAAAAATACTAATTATGGGCAAAAATTCTTGCTTTTAGGAAGAATATAACAAAAATGCTGCAGGGTTAGATTGTTAATGGGCAGGCTGCAATGTAAGTAGAATTCCTGATTGCCGTAATCAGATCTCAAAATTTTTGTAGTTGAATTTAATTTTGCCAATGAATGTTAGTCATTCTAACATTCTAACATTCAGTCATGTTGCACAGACTTAAATTAATAATGCCAGAAGATTTGTCATACATTTTTCACTTTTATCTTTCAATAGTACTGTAACATACGGCAAAATTAATTGTGCAGTGTTTCCTGCCCTTAGACACAACAAACCCTTTGCATATTCCCTTTTAAAAAGCCTTTTAACTGCTCTGAGTAGGTCACTGTTCCAATATCACTTATGAGTAAAGTGGGATTTTTTTTTTTTTTAATTTATTCTGGTCCTGCTTGAAAGGCATTCAGTTTTGCCAAACCTATGGTAGCACATATTTGTGGATCATCCCGTCACGGGTGTTGTGTATTATATTGTCACCGAAATCCAGGATAAAATAACTTATCGACTCCAATTTGATGCAGATAAGCAGACACTTCTTTATTGACGGCTGGACGTGTAGGGGAGTGCTCTCACCAACAACACGTGCCAGGCACCAGAATCATACACCTTATATAGAACTTACTCATACATATTCATTAAGTCTTCATACATAAGCATACAACTTCCAATAAATCATTAACATATTCTCCTCCTATTTCCAATTCTGTGCAGTAGAGGTTAGAAATGTCTAGAAATGGGTCTGGGGTGTAATGTGAGTAGGTGGTCCATGAGTCGGGGGTCACGATCTCCCCCTGCCGGAATTACCTTTTGCTTAAGGACACAGTTTTCTTGGCAGGTACCTGCAAGCTGTTAGGGTTATTTCCCTCAGTTCCCATTAATCCTGGACCTTGACAACTACTTGCATTCTTCTAGTCCTATACATGTATTATAAATCAGTTTACAAATCACCTCATGTTTTGTTACCTAGGTTCTAACCGTTCCTACTAAACAGTTATGACCAATCCCTTCGGCCTTGGTACGGGGCTGTACAGGGGATTTTAGAGTAGCAGTCGGTTGCTAGATTCAAAATGCAATAAATGTAAAATGATTTTTACTAAAATATCCCTTAATTCTATACTTATATTAAAATCAAACACAATTTAATTTCAGTTGATAATAAAATCAGTAACAATATCACCAGTCATTTTAATGAAAGCCTATTTTGTCAGCAAATCAGCAGGTTCCAGCCATTCATAGGTTATGGTAGCTATGACAATACAGAAACATTTTAAGTTTTATTTCAGGGGTGTGGTTTCACTGGTGAAATTAAGTGGCAGTAGAGCCCCTGTCAATCTTGAATTTTGCCATCATGATGCAGCTACTGTTTCTTTTTTAATACCTGTAGTGTTGAATTTAGGTTTTGCTGTAAGTTGAATTCATATTTTTTTTCTTTAAACACTGAGTCTGTGCTAATTAAGTATCCTAGTGTATTGTTTTGGATGTGGAGTCAGATAGGACCTGAGCTTTGAACAGACACTAGAGCAAGAGTACTGCAGGACATCAAGTCATTCAGCAGGCTTTACGCAAGGAGTTGCAGCCTTTCACACCAAGGCTTTTTTTGATTCCAGCATCTGTGTATTTGCTGACCATTTCTGCCAGTGTAAGGTAGCCTGTCAAGAGCTTAATTGATACAGACACTTTTATGTTGTGTTTAACTGCCGTTAGGATCTGTGGTTCACTGGAAGAACGCCACTTTTGAGGGAAAGCATTGCCATTCACCTCCAGGACCTCAGTGGAGAACTGCAACCATCAGCAGTTGTTTTCTCCACTGGCAGTCTCTGTCCTGCTACCACAGCTCTGGGAAGGAAGTTGGCATTCAGAAACGACGTTTATGTCTCTCCTCAGTAGTATGCAGCTGCCTTTGGGAAGACTTTGACTTCTTTGCATCTGCTAAGCCTTGGTCGATCAGACCTTTCATCTTCCTACAGTTAACAGCCAGTAGTTTGGGTCTTCTCACTCCTTGGCTTACTGAAGAGGGTCTGCCTTCACATGTTTTCTCATTGAAGCAGACAAACTTTGGAGCAGAACTTTTTTCCTTACAGAAATAAAATTAACGTATATCCTTGGGAGTGTCAAAGTTTGCAGAAGTAGAAGGAATACAGATAGCAGCTTCCCGTGGAAGGACTGCAGAAGATGGCTCTTGTCATAGCCT